AAAAAATATTGTCAGCATTACATTAGGTAATATAAGTATAATGTCATATAACTGTACACAATGCCTCTTGGGGAGTAATATACTAATATGCGCAAAAACAGCTTTTGAAAAAGATGAAAGAATCTCAAAGCAGATAAATGTTTAGTTGACAACTACTCCTGAGAAACTTCATATTTTAACTAATTTAATAGCAAGAACCAAAAACATCCTTAGCTGTCTTTGACAAAAAGTTTAAGTTTTAAACTAAAACGGAAAAGTTTTAATACTGTGATACTGTTTAGCTGTCATGTGTGCGCGTTTAATAGAATTACAACAAAATATTTTTTAAAACCCTAAAGATTAATATAAAATACGTAACTTAAAACTAAAATTAAAATTAATCGAAATTAATAGAATATAAAAAATCAACATTAAAATAAAGCAATAATTTTACTATTTTTGATAATTAATATATGATTTTAAACCCTGATTTCGATTTTTCGTTTTACAAACTTATGAATTCATGCAAATTTTATGAAATATATTATTTTTCTCCGCCCATCTGACTGCCCTTAATTGAACAAGAATAAAAGAAAATTTATTGTAATATTATTCCATTATCCCGCCTCAAACTCCCGATAAATCTATTCAAACATTTACAATTTAATTTTACCTAATGAATTAAATACTTTCGAACTTTTTGATGTATTTTTTTAATTATTGCTCGATTATTTGTTAAAAATTGAAAATTGAAAATTTAAATTCAATACTTACATTGGGTAAAGAGCTTCAGATATATTTCGATATACCTAAAACAAAAAAAATAAATTTAAGTAAATTGGTGTAAATTTTAAGCATACAGCTTCATTCAGAACTTCTAAATCAGTGGAATAAATTAGTAGTTTCAATTAGCCGTAGAAGTTTGTTCACCTAATTTTAATGTAAGCATTCAGAGCGACATAATTAGTGGAAGAAGTTAACAAACTCTTGACTTTTCCACTAATTTTACTTCAAAATTTGCGAGGAATATTATTTTGGACTTTGATTATCACCCGTCAAGAAAAATGTTGGTTAAAAATCAAAAGTTTATTGTTTTATAAGCTAAATAGTATGCTTTCTATACGGATACAACAGACTACCGCAAGCTGTTGCTAGGATATTTTATTAATTTTAGTTGTGTTTTTTTAGACATTGTGTAAACTAAAAAGTATAAAGTGTAATTGAAACCACTAATTTATTCCACTAATTGGGAGGTTCTGAATGAAGCTTTATACTTTTTAGTTTAAGATCGTTCACAATGTCTTAAAAACACAATTCAAATTAATAAAATATCCAGCTGGCGGTAATCAGTTGTATCCATAGAGAAAGCCTAATATTTGGCTTCTAAAACAATAAATTTTTGATTTCTAACTACAAGTTCTCTTGGCGGATTATAATCAAAGGCCAAACTAGCATTCGTCGCAAATTTTGAAGTAAAATTAGTGGAAAAATTAACTTAAGTTTGTTAACTTTTTCCACTGATTGAAGATTATTACCACTAATTTTGGCGTTGTGAATGCTTACATTGATATTAGAAGAACAAACTTCTATGCTAATTGAAACCAGTAATTTTGATGTTCTGAATGAAGCTTTTTCATAACTTTTTCCACTAATTATTATACTTCAAAATTTGCGAGTAATGTAATTTCATCATCATCATTGTTTTCTTTAGTTCCTAAGTGAAACATACGGCTCCAGTGAAAACCTTCCATCATGGAATGTTTTCAGCAATTTTTTTAACTACTGGCCATGATGTTCTTGACTTCGCTAGCTCTTCCATTACGATTCTACGCCATGTTTGTTTTGGACGTCCTCTTTTTCCTTGCCCAGTGGGTTCCAGTCAAGGGCATTTCTTGCGATATTGTCGTTAGGTTGTCTTAGAATGTGTCCTATCCGTCCCCACTTTCGTATAATCACTTCTTTGCTTATCTCAGTTTGGTCAGTTAAATGCAATAGATCTTTGTTTCGGATCGTGTTCGGCCAAAATATGCAAAAAATTCGTCGCAAGCATTTATTAACAAATATTTGTAGCTTTGCTGTTAGGGGTTTGGTCACTTTCTTTTTTTTATTGTCGGAATGGATAAAAAAATGTAGAAATAAAAGTAAATGTAAAAAATCCAGTCTCTGCGATTGAATGAAAAGGCGAGTATATAAAGTATAAATTTAAGTATACATGTCTCGTGAGAATAAGTTAAAATCCCGTGACAGTCACACTTTTTTATCAAATTTTAAATATGAATATTTTAATTATAAAATACATGAGGAACTCTAGTTTCCAGGATTGTGTTTATTCATTCATTTAGAAAATGTATATCATGTCACAAAATGGGTGGGGGTTAAACTAAGTAGTTTTGTGTTGATGTAGGGTAGGGGGTTTATGTATGTACATAATTTTTTTTCAAAAATATATTTTTCTGAATAGTTATTTTATTATAGTTACAGTGTAATTTTTTTAATTTTACGTTATTGAATTTCTTACTTGGCTAATATTGTATTAAAAATTAATCTATCAAACATGTTCAATTTCATAAGATTTGAATTTTATAATAGAATTGTGCTTTTATACACATTTTTCAAAAGTAGATTTTGTGCGTCTTCTTAGCACGCCTTAGCACGAAATTTTCATTTCTTACCTATTCCTACCGTAAATGTAAATGCTTTATCTACTTTAAAAGTAGACGTTTCAAGAGAGGGTCAAATATGGCTTTTATCCATATTAAAAATACCTAAAAATATTACCAGAGATGTTTTTTGAATAGCATCATCAATTTGCAGTAATATTTTCTAGTAAATCTATTAGTTATTTTTTATTTCACTTGGTTCAAAATTCACAATAAATTTTTTCTTAATAGTTTTTACTTTATCACAAATTGTCTTCAACATGAGATAATACTTAACGATATTTAATAATTGGTTCATATTTTACATGTTCTTTGCAAGTTTTTTTTATAAAAATATACTTTGGTTAAAATAAAAAATAATTTTAAAATTAAATTATATAAAACATTGACAACATCGCTTTTACCAATTTATTTTGTCCCATTCTTAACTAGTTATAACTATTTTGGAAAAAAAAGCATTCATTAAAAAAAGGGCAACGATTCAGTTACGTCAAAATACCGATTCCCGATAGATCACCGAAGTTAAGTAACGTTAGACGATGAGAGTGGATGGACGGGTGACCATCTAGAAACTCGTCGTGCTGTTGTTCCATATCAAGAATGTAAAATCTATGAACACACAGTTCTCTTTTACACTGGTTTAAGGCTGTATGGGATCGGATACCTGGTAAGAGTCGATTTAGACACTCGCCAAGTCGGTAGGCCATTGACAATGTTATGGCTGAGGGTCGCAGTTCGGATTCAACATAAACAGAGTAGATCCGTCTAGACTAGCCTTGTCATAAATGACTTAAAACGTTATAAATATAAAATATTTATAAACATTTATTAAGTATTTCCTCACGGTAGTTCATACCAAACACATAATGCATTAGCAAAAAAGATTTCAATAATGTGTTTAAAGCTTATGTCAAATACAAAAATATAATGAAATATTAGGGGCATAAAAAGCTGGGGTTGCCTGATATGTAATATTGTTAAAAAGCATACTTAAGCAGTGTCGCTATGAAAAATGGCAGTGATTTTTCGAGTTCTTTATAACAACGGTTGCTACCACAATTTATTACTGTAACAGCATAACAAAAAGTGATAAAACGCCAAAAGACACTTTGAAAATTGTACGGCTTTTCTAAATCGTATATTAAAACCAAAAAATTGAAAATATATATAAAACTGCTTTGTTATTATTATATATTTTTTTAAATATTAATTTTTCTCCCCCGAAAAAATTCGAAGCTCTATGTATAGTTCCGGTATATTATAAAAAATTACTTCACTTGTTTCATCATTGTAATGTATATAAAAATGTACAAACTAAATATTTTCTTCAGTTTACATTTTTTTCAATAATTTTAAACATTAACTGTAAAAATGATAACAAAAATATTTAAATTCAAATATCTCTAAAAGTATTCAAATAATAGTGATCAGGTACTACAAAATTAATTTTAATTAGAAGTAGTAAATCCAAAATTAACACATAATACCATAGTGGGTGCGTCTCAAAAGCGGCTCACCCCTATAACTTCTTTATTTTTTCTGAAAAAAAACGATACTTGGTATGTCAGTATACGACAAAAATTAAAATTGATCTTGGTCACTTTCATTGATTGGTCACTTTCTGTTTTACCGGAAATGACTACTTTTGATTTTTATATGGAACCCTTGGTATATTTCTACTTTATTCGATATAAAATGACACTCTGAGTAGAATGATATATAATATGTCAATTTGAAATTTTGGTACCAAATTATTCGTAAAAAAATGCCTTTTTAAAATATGCTAATGAGCCAAAATTGTTCCATTTGAATAATATGATTAAAAATACGATTTGGGCATATTTTAACGAGTCAGGACAAGACACGAAAAACATTAGACGATCAAAACTATTTTTCCAAGGCTTCTTGATTAAACATTAGCGTTTTAGCACAGCCGTGGCACTCTAGATTGAAATTTAAAATACGATTTTTTTAACGAAAATGTCAAAAGTTGACATATGATATGTCAATCTATTCAGAGTGTCATTTTGTTTCAAATAAAGTAGAAATCAGCAAAAATAGCACCCCCGGTATGGTGCTAATAAAAAATCGAAAGTTGTAGTATTTTCCGGTGAAACAGGAAGTAACCAAAAACAATTGAATACGTTAGTCCATCCTAATTTAGGTCATATATTAACATACTAAATTTCGGTTTTTTATCTGAAAAAATAAAAAAATTAATGGATGTGAGCCACTTTCGAGACGCACCCGGTATAAACAGTAAATGAAGTAAAAGTTAAAGTATAAATTTAATTAAAGAAATATTCCCGCCACGCAGTGTTTGTCTAATCTAAATGTCCTTTCTTTTTTTTACAGAACCCTTCGAGAATAAATAACATCATTAACATGTCATACAATGAAGATATTCCAGGTTCGTACCTATTCCTTTTTTAAATTGAAAATTAATAAATAATAAATGTCAGCTCACTTATGTCAGTATATTTCAAAACTAACAGCATTCCCAAAGAATCTCAATATCATTTTTTCAAAAATATTTTTTGTATATAATCAAAATTAGTTTTTAGCATTCATTGTTTAAATAAATAGTTTATTTTTTCTAACAACTCTTTACCAAAATGTAAGGTTAATGCTTTCTTTTCAGATAATCCACTACCATTTAACGAATCATACAACGCAACAATGAACACGACAGATTCAATCGAAACCGATGAGTACTGTGTCAACTGCATAATCGTACCCATCCTGGTAATCAGCTGCCTCATATCTATGCTAGTCAATGTAGTGGTTATAGCGAGCGCCAACTGGATTAGGTGTCCCATGACCCCAAATCTGAAAATCAGCCTGAGCTTGGCAGCAGCTGATGCTTGCAGTTCGAGCATGTACGGATTGATTATATTTACAGAAACGTATATCTTGCCTGACCCTGGAGTTATTATAACTATTATCGAAATGATACGACTCACTGGAATAGGTAAAATTTTAACTTATTTTGTTAATATCGTCACTCACAAACACGCTAACCAATGGTGATTGAAATATAAAGATTACCCACTGAAAAAAAAACAAGAAAGAAGTACCTATATCATAAAATTAAAAATTTCATCTAGATGACTTAAAATTGATTTTCTTATCTAAAATTAAAAAATTAATAACTTTTACCGTTTCTTTTTCAAAATGCGACCAACAAAGAATTTAGCCATTTATTACATTGACAGTCAAATTGGACATATTTTATATACCCGACAGAAACTGGTTAAATTTTATTATGTCATTTTTATTAGCATTCAAAGCAAAAGCAAACAAAAGCTAAAGTCGAAATTTACCTAATTGGATTTATAAAAAATCACATAAGATTCAAGATGCGACTTATATAAAAAGCAATATATAAAAAACAAAAATTCTTAACAAGAAGAAATCTCTAATCAATAAAAGTAAGGTAATTTAGAAACTAAAGTATATCTCATTTCATATACAATCAACGATGTTAATACATTAAAGAAATTTTGTCTACGGCGTAAACTTATTTTATCATAATTTATCAAAATATGATTGACACTTTCACAAATGTTGTTTTAATTGCGGTATTTCCAGAAAATTGCAATAATAAATACCTATACATATTATTTTAAATTCAAATAAAGTAATTAAAAAATGTTTTTAGATTCTCAAAACTTTTATTAACTTAGAAACTATATAATTTAGTAACAGAGATTCAAAATAATTACCTACTGCATTATAAACGCATCAAATAAACATTTTATTGCTTTTATCTAATGTAAATATATGAGTAATCATATTAAATCGTAATCTGTCAAATTATATATTTATCTGAGCAAAAAAGATATAGGAAGCGTTACTTACTAAACAAACATTTAATAATTATTACTGTGATTAAATGTGAATTGATTAATAAATAAATAACTCAATCTACCCAGTATGTGTAATTAATTTTCAGTATAAAATGAAATATATAGTATTGAAATAAAAGTCATTTGAACAAATGTAATTTGGAATAAAACTATTTCCAATAATTTTTTTATTTTACTGGTAGAGTCCTTCAATGCAAGCAATACAACTATTTTTGTTCAAAATGTCTCTTGTAATACTGGTAGGCCAAACCATTAAATGTCAGGGGTTCTTCAGGCAATATTTTTGATATGAACTTTTTAATCAGGCAATGTTTCTGATATAAACTTTAACTCTAAAGCAACTTATTATTTCGTATATTTTTCATTTTATTGATTTTATGGAAAGCAATGTTTATTAAAATGTTGTATTCTATGTTATAGGGCTTGTTCCTCTCTACAATTTTCTGTCTCACAATGTACCGTTTGTGTCTGGGATGGGATCATAGTTTCATAGTTGTCGATTTTCGAAAGAAATCAGTACATGTATATTATTTTGTATATTTTTCATTTTATTGATTTTATGGAAAGCACTGTTCGTTAAAATGTTGTATCATATGTTATAGGGCTTGTTTCTCTCTACGATTTCCTGTCTCACAATGTACCATTTGTGTGGGGGAAGGTATCATAGTTTCATAATTATCCAATTTCGAAAGAAATAAGTACATGTATATTATTTCGTATATTTTTCATTTTATTGATTTTATGGAAAGCACTGTTCATTAAAATGTTGTATCTTATGTTATAGGGCTTGTTTCTCTCTACAATTTCCTGTTTAACAATGTACCGTTTGTGTCCGGGAAGGGTTCATAGTTTCATAGTTTTTGATTTTCGAAAGAAATCAGTACATGTATATTATTTCGTAATTTTTCATTTTATTGATTTTATGGAAAGCACTGTTCATTAAAATGTTGTATCTTATGTTATAGGACTTGTTTCTCTCTACAATTTCCTGTTTAACAATGTACCGTTTGTGTCCGGGAAAGGTTCATAGTTTCATAGTTGTCGATTTTCGAAAGAAATCAGTACATGAATATTATTTCGTATGTTTTTCATTTTATTGATTTTATGGAAAGCACTGTTCATTAAAATGTTATAGAGCAAGTTAGTTTCTCTCTACAATTTCCTGTTTCACAATGTACCGTTTGTGTCCGGGAAGGGTTCATATTTTCAACTTTAGCAACCAAAAAAAATCTATGAGTATAATTTCTGGTTATTGGGTCGTAAATCAATGGATAAAATTGCAAAAGAATAAATTATTTCCCAATACCGAATCCTGATAAACCAAACCTGAAGTTATATTGGCAACTAATTTAAAGTTTCAAAACAGACATTGCTCATAGAAAATACATTTAAATATGGATAAGCATAATTTATTAACATATGCTACACAAATCTTTATCTAAATAAATCTTATTAATATACTCGTATTCTCTTTACAGTTATTACAGTTGTACATCTTCTGGCCCTTAGCATCAATCACTACATCGGAATTTTGAAGCCGCTGCATTATAATGCGATTGTTACAAGTAAAAAGGTAAGTTTTATATCACAAGATTTAACATACCGATAAAACTATACTAACCAATGAAAAAAGTTTAATCACATAAATTTTAATACACGATAAAAAATATGTTAACTTAAAATGTTTAAAGTAGATATTGTTCATATCTGACGTTTCGTTTCCAAGATATCATCAACTATATTTTATTTCATACCTTTATCTTAAAACACACCTTTACATACTTCATTTCAATCAGTAAAATAAAATTTTACAGTAATAAGTCCGGTAACATTTTTTACTGGTCTAGACCTGTAATTATTTTTTCTGGTTATTTTTTGGTATCAACTTCCTTGTAGCCTCGTTAGATTTCTCCTTAACTTCTTTTGGAATCAGATTTTCAGTACTTACTGACTCCATTTTATCAGCTTTTTTAAAGTAAGTGAATTCCTTTAATATTACTTTTACTACGACTTTTAAGTGGCTGGACTGCTTTGACATAACTTGCACACAGGCACAGGTACAACAGAGTATTTTTTTATTTAGCCGAAATCATTAAACCAAATTATGTATAGTTGTTTGTTACATTGAAGACAAATAAAAACTGACGACTTCTTTCAGGTATGTGCTGTACTATGGTTATTATGGATATTTCCAACAATAACGCTAATGTCAATATGTGCGGCTTTCGACAGAGATGGTGAACTGAGGGACAATTTCATCCTCAATACGGGTAATGTGCCGGGGTAAGTATAATTCCAAACAATAATACCGATAACAAAATACCTTGACAAATTCCCGTATTGCTTATTTCAATAACATGTACAAAAATAAAACCACTAGACACAATGAGAATAATAAAAAGAAGTTACTTAAGAACGTTTTCATGATTTGTCTCGGCAATTTTTCGTTGAATTTATCTTCTCTAATGTCTAGTACGAGTATGTCATTGATTTGCAATAAACATCAATCATTACAAATAAGCTATAAGCATGCGTGACGTAAACAAATTACGGAAAATTGCGGAGTGTGAAACATAATTTATTAAAAAATTATTGTATTCCTAATTATTTTATAGATTTATTTTCAAATAAATTCAATTTAGCTGGAAAGAACTGGTATATGTAACACAGTCAAAGTGAATAAAGGCCTAACATACCTACACAAAATTAATCAAAACAGAACTCTCTCAATTATAGTCTATCCAACGACAAAATCCTTGACAATGAATGTACTGTATAGATGTGTCTGTCATTTGAATTTAAGTAGTTTCTTAACTTAAAAAATATTAGAAACTTTTTTAGTGAAATAAATGGATTGGTATGGGCGTCATCTGCTTTTTTTCTGTCATCGTCTGTCGCAATCTTACCTGGGAAAAAATACAACAATTTCGAAACGCACTTAGAATGTTCTAAACTGATCTCAGATACTCCCTAAAACGCATATTTTATTAATAATGATGACGTAGGGTTGAGCGATCACTGAACAAAAAGCATCTCATCATGTCTAAACCAACATAGATTACCGTACTTTCTAAGATTTTCTTCGTCAACTTTAATATTCGCTCATCCTATATAAATAAATCCGGAATTATTAGGTATAGTATCTATCAAGAAAAACTCAAACTGTCAAAAGAACTCAAACAATGTCCTTTTTTCCTTTTGTTTTCTCAACCCTTATGTTTCTGCCGAATTAAACACTAATCTAAAAAAGGTCCAATGACAGTGATCTGAAAACGAACTGAAGAAATAAAGGTCGTTGAAATAGGACGGTCCAGAAGACAAAAACCAAATAAACGAATGGCAAGATTATCTTATATTTGAAATATTTGCCTGTATCATATTTACCAGGATATGAAAAGGGCTTATGGTTCACTTACGATTTTTATTTTTTTTTTTTCTTTATTTATTTTTATTTTATTATTACTATCCTTGACGATAGTATTTTATGAAAAAATGCGCTTAGTTCAAAATTTTCTGAATAGCATTTCATTAGAAATTTATAGAGATCTACAATATCCAAATCAGAAATTTTTGGTTCCACTTTGCTGTTCTAAATATCTATATTTGATATCAATTAAACTTTTATTTACGTAATCGATATATAATTATAGTATAATATTTTGTAATAGTGCTAACTGCTAACTATATCTAATATCACTGTATATTTGCTTGCATTAACTTTAGAGTAAAGTAATATTATGCATTACGTATCTACCGTGTCTAACTGATAAACATGAACAAGTTAATCTTGTACCTTGTTCAAAATAATCCGGATCTGCTTACATAGTTTCAATTTATATCAAAATCGTAGAAAGAAAACTAAATAACGCATGAATAATTTTATAAACAATATTATGATATGGGTTTAACCGAGGCTGACAGCATAATATCATACGATCGAAGAAACGGCGTCAAAGACGGCTGGTTGAGACAATCGATGATATTTTTTGCGGGGTCAAGCCCTAGACGTCATTTACTTGGTCCGTGCTCTTCTTTATTTTTTAATTGCGCTTACTGCCAGTTTAGTTTTTTATTTTAGTTTTTTTTTGTTAGTTTTTGTTTTTTAGTTTTTTTTAGTTGTGTAATTTATTTCATTATTGAGTAAAAATGATTTTTAAATGGTGTAGTTTAAAATGCGAAATTTTTTTTTTGGGAATTAGATTTGTAGGCCTGGAAACGTTCTATCTTTTTTTTAATCTTTATATAATTAATTAGTAAATGACGCCTGGATTGTCATTCCAGTCGTCTTTGACGCCGTTTTTTTTTCGATCATACGGTACAAATATATTTTGGGAATAGCATATCATTATGGTATTTATTGTCATTATTATATTCTCTCTTATACTGTTGTTATATACTTTATTATTTAAGTATTATTTTCTTTACGCCTTCAAACATATTTATCTTATTGGTGTTTATAAAAAGGAACAATTAAATAAAAATTAAATAATACGACAAATGGAAACATGAAATGTAAAAAAATGAACTGGAGCAATAATTAAATCATTGGGTTTTGATCAGCATAACGATAGGTTGACAAAAACTGATCATAAATGTACATAGGAAAGCTGAATCTTTAATTATTAACGATTTTCTCTTAAGTGTTCAATTTTATCAAGTCAATTAGACTACCCCCTGTCCTTTATCAATAATTTACATAACATTGACATCCCTTCATAATAATTACGTTAAATTAATATTACACAAAATCATTGATACTGACAATAAATGATATAAAAATTAATTTATAATAATATAATTAATATCATATTTTCTTTTACTTAATAAATTAAAAAGAATTAATAAACGCAGTATATAAAATATTCAAACCCTAAGTTTGAATATTTATTAACTAGAAATAATAAAGTAATTTAGAATTGCATTAGAAGTAAAGAAAATAATCTTCTTAAATAAAACTAGTAGTTTTTTATCTTCTAATTCTAAGCAACAATAGAAGCAGAGCAAAATTAAAATCAGCATATGCACATAAATTTTAATAAAAATATTTCTTATTAATCTAATGCTTACTCGTATATCTTGACAATAATAATATTAAAAATTAAGAAACATTTTTGTTCTAGAAACAACACTATTATAATTACAAATATCTATCTCAAGCGTTAAGTGATGTTAATGCAAAATTGTTAAATGTAAAAACCAATGACAAGTCAGTTTCTGTTTGCATTTAAAAAGATTGGCATTTTACAAAAAAGCACCTTTTAATTTTTTAAACTTTTGATTAAGTGCCAAAATACACCTTTTAGTAATGAGATCGCCATTACATATGTGTAATTCATAAAATTGAACTACATTGGTTCTATCATCTCTGAAAACACGATACAACGAAATTCAATTAATTTCCCTAATAGCTAGTAAAATTTTAATTCAAAAAGCCGATTAACATAAATCAGATTTGCATAAACTTGATACTCTCGCTATGTAAATCTCTCCGTTTCAATTAGGCCAGAGAACATTTAGAAAAAAACTGTTTAATCGAATCAAATTATCCAAAAAATAACATTTTATTTCATTGTTGTACAAAGATAGGACAATATACAGGGTGAGTCTTAAATATGTGCAAATATTTCTAGGGGTGGGATATTTCGACGTCTATGAGGTTTTTGTCGCAATAAAAAGATGTTCAAAAACCGTGCATTCTCTTTTAAATCTTCCTATATATTTTAGAAAACTTTTTAGAACTGCCTGTTCAAAGCAAATTTTGACATGGAATATTTTTTTTATAAAAAAAATAGAACAGCGGAAAGCACTGTTCATTAAAATCTTGTATCCTATGTTATAGGGCTTGTTTCTCTCTACAATTTCCTGTCTCACAATGTACCGTTTGTGTCGGGGAAGGTATCATATTTTCATAGTTGTCGATTTTCGAGAGAAATCAGTACATGTATATTATTTCGTATATTTTTCATTTTATTGATTTTATGAAAAGCACTGTTCATTAAAATGTTGCATCCTATATTATAGGGCTTGTTTCTCTCTACAATTACCTGTCTCACAATGTACGGTTTGTGTCGGGGAAGGGATCATAGTTTCATAGTTGTCGAGTTTCGAAAGAAATCAGTACATGTATATTATTTCGTATATTTTTCATTTTATTGATTTTATGGAAAGCACTGTTCATTAAAATGTTGTATCTATGTTAATTGATAATCATTAATCACTGATATTATCATAGTTACGGCTTTACTCTATGGTTACGGCTTTACAAGGGGTGTAGATATAGAAAAAGCCCGGTGGCTCTCAATTTTTTAAAAAGATATATTTTTTTATTTTCAAACTTGAATACCTAACTCGGATATTTTGGACTTATTTGAAAAACGGTGGAGAGAAACTATGTTTCTTTTATCGAGATCTACCTGCCCTCAAAATATTTGAACTTATTTAAGAATTACCCTGTACGATGTGTTCCTGCAAATGACAAAACAGCATTGTAATACCTATACTATACAGGACTAGTAATGAGACAAGAGAATGAGACAATGAGAGTAATGAGACCTAACTGTACAGGACTAGGAATGAGAATTAAAATAAATTTGAAGAAACTATTTTTAAGTACACTTTTAAAACTACTCCAAGAAGCATCTTAGGAAAAACAAAACCAATGGCAGGGAATCAAGAAAAATAAAGCATCTATACTCAGTTTTTTTTTCTCAGTTAAGATTTCGACAGACGATGACAGAAAAAAAAGCAGATGAAGTCCATAACAATCCATTTATTTCACTAAAAAAGGTTTCTAATTTTTTTACATTAACTATGGATGGGTTTATACCGGGTGCGTCTCAAAAGTGGCTCACCCCTATAGCTTTTTTATTTTTTTAGTTAAAAAAACGAGATTTGGTATGTTAGTCTATGACATAAATTAGGATGGATTGACGTATTCAATTGTTTTCGGTCACTTCCGGTTTCACCGGAAATAACTGCAACTTTTGATTTTTAAATAACACCCCCGGTATTTTTTTATTTTATTCCATAGAAAATGTCACTCTGAATAGAATGATATATTATATGTCAACTTTTGACATTTTCGCATATGGTTTATTTGAAATTATAACTTGCGGTTCGTAACGAAAATTTAACTCGAAATACCAAGTGTGTGGTATTAAATTATTCGTAAAAAAATGCTTTTTCCAAATATGCTAATGAGACACTATCGTTCCATTTGAAAAAATTGAGATACGATTAAAAATACGATTTGAGTATTTTCTAACTGGCCAGGACAAGACACT